TTCAAGTCAAAAGTACCAGGAACTTTGTCTTTAGATGAAAGTTGAGCTGCTCAGGATGCTGAATTCTCTCAGCCTGAAACCACTTTTGAGTGTCCAATTGTGTTCATCTTGTTCGTTTAAGCACTAGCAAAGATCCGTGCCCTAGAACAAGTGTGTAGCGCCGCACTGGGACTCAGGCGATCAAGGTTCTAGTCGCTGCTCAGCCATGGAGCCAACTTTGGGCCAGTCACAGAGCCTAAGCCCAATCCACCTCACAGGGTGGTTGTTGCAAGAGAGGATTGAGAGCAGCAACAGGAGAATAATGTAAGGTACTTTGAGTTCCTTAAAAAAAAAGGTGGGATATAAAACAAATGTTCCCACATTCTCCAAGTTTTCTTTAATATTGAGGATGAAGAGCAAGATATTTGCACCCAGTTTTCCTTTTTGAAGAGCTTCCTGTTAAAAGCAGGTGTGAGCAACGTGTGGTTTTCCAAGTATTTTGGCCTACAACTGTCATTACTGGCAGTGTTATGTAGTGGTTAAGAGTGCTGGACTTGGGACTCAGTGCTGGACTTGGGACTCAGTGCTGGACTGGGGTCTAGTCACCATTTGGCCATAAAGCCTGTTGGGTGACTTAAGGCCAATCACAGGCCCTCATTCCAACCTACCTCACAGGGTTGTTGTTTGCATAAAATGGAGAGGAGGAGAAACTTTAGAAACAGCGCGAGTCAGAAGGGGTCTTGCAGGTCATCTAGTCTGGCCTCCAGCTCCGCTCATGACATTCCTACCATGTGCATGCCCAGCCTATCCTTGAATATTCTCACCAATGGGGCTCTGCCTTGCAAGAGGAAGAAAGGCAGAGTATAAATGAGTGTAATAACAATTGTATCCCTCTCCATTTGCTCTGCTGGCAAGGGCTGTGGGGAGTGCTAGGCCAGAAAACCTCTCTGTATCAAAGCCAAGCCAGCCCCAGGCTTCTGTGGCCCTCTGGCACAAGATCTGTTGAGTATCTGCATGCATGCATGTCCGCCATTTCCCTCCCATCCCCAGACTAGTGATGTGTGGCAGACTCCTTTCCTACTCATCACTTGGCCCTGGGCAGTGGCTGGGCTTTCCTACTCCGGAGACCAGTGCCTGTGTGCAAGGCACGGTTGAGGAGGTTACTGCAGTGTAAAGCTGGGCCCACATCCGGATCATTACAGTTTCTGCAATTTCAGCCCATGGAGACTTGTGTGTCAGCAAGGACTCTGCTGTTACTATTTCAGCTTGAGAAATATGAGACTCATGCTCTTGGTGACTTTGCAGTGGCTTCTTACTCAGCAGTGGAAATATGAATGATACAAGAGTTACAGAGCCTTTGAAGGAAACAGAATGGAAAGCTCTGTTCAGATGCCACAGAATGTTTGAATGCCATGACTTTAGTCTTCCACTTTGGTTCATGAATGTATCTCTAAACATATTTCCAAAGGCCATTGCAGTTAATTTCTCATAGAGGGATGAAAATGTAAGACCTCAGCCCCAGTAGTTGAGAACATTTTTGGCAAACACACAGTTCTATATTCACTATATTTGGCTTTATATATTTATGTGATTCCAATTGTGGATACCACAGTCCTGGCTGTGGTTAGGCAGTCATGAGGGAAGGCCCTTTGCACACGTTTGGAAATATTCTCATATTAAGACATTTGTCCCAGGGCTGAGTCTTGCAATTTTGAACAGCTGCTGGAACTTAGCCTATGGCCCCTTGACAGTGTCTGAGGGGGCATAGGATTTTCCAGATTTCCAGCTCTGAGGTCACAGGCTGCACCTTCAGGGTTCTGTCCTCCTTTTCTGCATCCCTTCACTGCTAGCACAGAAAGAACTGAATCAGCTGCTCTCCAAAGTCAAGAAAATAACCTCAGAGGGGGGCAAAAGGTGGCATTTGGGGTGGCAAGAAGCAAGCTGGGGAGGCTAGGATAGTAAGTGTTGCTCCCACTCCAAGATGCCCTAACTAAAAGGGCAAAACTATATAATGAAATGCAGAGCCTGAGGACAGGGAAGCCAAAATCGTAACATAAAAAGTGATGTCAGATCAGACCAAAAGTCCATCTAGTCCAGCACAGTGGCAAACCAGCTGCCCACAGGATCACTCAAGCTGGATGGGTGCAAGACCTCTTCCTGCCTAAGCTGCTCAGCAACTGGTGTATGCAGGCAATCATTTTCCCCACACCTTCTCTTCTGGTCTAGAAGCTCATAAGCCTCCTTGTTTGGAGGCTTACAGGCATCTTGATAGGGTTGCACCTCAAGTCTTTAACATACAGTTTTATTTGAAAGTACAATTGCACTGTAGAAGTACAGATGCCCACACCAGTGCAAACATACAGAGATACAAGGCTCACTGATTTCAGTGGCTGTAACTCCCAGGTAAATCTATATATAGGACTGCACTCACCACTATGAATCATAGATACATAGAAAAGCCATGCCGGGTCTGACCAAAGGTTCATCTAGTCCAGCACTCCATACACATTATGGCAAATGAGCTGGATCCCTCGAGTAGGATGGGTGCAAGATCTCTTCCAGTCCAAGCTCCTCAGCAGCTGGTGTGTGCAGGCGTGCCACCTCTGGTAAAGGAGGCAGCACATAGCCAGCAAGGCTAGTAGCCACTGATAGTCTCTGCTTCCATGAATCTGCCCAGTGCCTTTTAAAGCTTCTAGATTTGTGGCCATCATTACTCCCCATGGCGGCAGATTCTGTATGATACACATTGTGTGAAGATGCACTTTACCCTTCCCCCACTCAGCTTCATAGTGTTGAGTGAGTTTGAGTGTTGGGAGAAAAATGTCCCCCTCTCCATTTTCTCCACTTCATGTATAATTTTAAACACTTTTGTCATGTCTTCTGTAACTCACCTTTTTTCTGAGATGAACATTCCCAGTTTTTGCAGCCACTCCTTACAGGGGAGATGCCGCAGCCCCTTGATCATTTTCGTTGTCCTTGTCTGTATTTTTTCCAGTTCAGTAATGTCCTTATTCAGGTATGGTGACCAGAACAGAACACAAACTGTGGGTGCAGCAAGGATTTGTGCCAGGGAAATAACATCATGACAATTCTATTTTCTGTTCCATTCTTAATTATGCCTGCCACGGTGTTTACCTTTTTTACAGCAGTCACACACTGGGCCACCATTTTCATCAAGCTGTCCTTTAGCACCCAAGGTCCCTTTCTTGCTCTGTCATTGCTAGTTCTGATCCCCTTAGCATGTACTTGTTATTGTTTGTGGGGGGGGGGGGGGGGTTCCTTGCCCCAGCATCCATTACTTTACACTTAATTATTTGAACCACATTTGCCATTTCAGTGCCCATTTCCCCAACTTAAGGAGATCCTCACAATGCCTTTTGGTTTTAACCACCTTAAATAGCTTGGTGTCATCAATAAACGGCCACTTCACTACTTGCTTCTAATTCCAGATCATACTGAATAAGTTGAAAAGAATTGGCCCTAACATACAACCCTGTAGAATTCCACTGGTGACATTCCTCCATTACCATTTATTTCCACCCTCTATTTTCCTTAACCAGTTTGTGATCCATTAGACTTCCCCTTTTATTTTGTGACTGTTTAGTTTGCTCAGGAGCCTTTGGTAAGCGACTTTGTCAAGAACTTTTTGGAAGTCCAAGTAACAATGTGTACTAGATTGTCCCTCTCTGTGTGCTTGTTGACACTCTCAAAGAACTCCAATAGGTTTGTAAGACAAGACTTCCTCTTGCGGAAGCCATGTTGGCTTTTTCTCCTCAGGGATTGTCTCTCTATATGTTTACTGAATCTTTAAGACTGTTGAAGATAGATATTACAGAACGATGTTAAGCTAACCGGCTTGTACATTTACATTGACCATTTTCCAATCCTCTGGTACAAGGGCTGTTTCTAGGAATATATTGCATATTTTGGTAAGGTTAGCGATTTCATGTTCTAGTTCTCTGGGATGGATATTGTCTGGGTCAGGTGATTTGCTGACATGCAGATTATCAGAACTTTTCCTTGATCAGTATTATCTACCTTAATTCCTCAGGCTCCTTTCTTCAATACATAAGCTTAGGGAGTTATATGCTCTGCATCTTCCATTTCAAAGACTGATGAAGATAATTCATTCAGCTTCTCAGTAATTCCGCATTCTCCCTCAGTGCTCCTTCAATTCCATTATTGTCCAATGATCCAACTGCTTCTTTAGCTACTTTCCTACTTGTGGTGTATTTAAAGAATTCCTTATTAGTGACCTTGATGTTATTAGCAATATGTTCCTCCAACTGCTCCTTTGCTTTTCTGATTGGCTGCTTACAATCCCCTTGTGCAATCTGGTGGTCCTTTCTATTCTTTTCATTTGGACAAGACTTGCATCTCCTGAAGGAAGCTTTTTTTCTCCCTAATGGCTTCCTTGACTCTATTCAGCAATCAAGGTGGCGATTTCCTGGACTTTGTTCTGCCTTTCCTCACTTGTGGTATGCATATTTTCTGTGCCTCTACTATAGCATATTTCCAAGTACTGTGAAGCACATTTATCTTCTTGGTTCCCTTTCTTAGTTTCTGCTTAACTAGTTCCCTTAACCTTGGAAATTTCTTCTTTTGAAGTCAAACTCAAATGTGTTTTCTGATTTTTGCATGAAATCACTAGATGGCCTCACTCCTCATCTGCATTGTAGGGTAATAGCACCAGTATAAGACAGCTGCTGGAAGGGTTGTACTAGGACAATAATGTGCTTTGAACAAAAGAACTATGTAAATGAAAAAGTATTATTCCATAGGGTAGCCTTCCCAAGCCTAGTACTCTCCAGCTGTGTTCCACTACAACTCCCATCATCCCCTGCCAGGGCACCAGGCAGGAGAAGCCTGAGATTGCAGATCATAGACAAAATCCATCAACCATGGCAGTAGGTTGCAAAGACCACTACACCACCTGCTAATCACCACCAAAGTACCTAGTAAAGAAATATTTTGACCACCTTTGATTTCCAGAAGTATAACCCTACCTCTTCCCACCACAGTCCAAACAAATCAGAGTTTATGAAGGCATGTGAGAGCTCCTACTCAAGCTGGAAGTTTTCCGGTGGTTTTCGGACCTGGGTCAAAATGTCTTTGGTGAAAACAAAAGAAGAAGATGGCCAGGAGACAGTGGAATTCAGACAAGAGGTAAAGAACTCCTGGAAGGCTTCCTGACTTCAACAGACCCAGCTGTGATTGCTGAAGGGACTGTTCTGAGCACCCAGGCTGGCCACACAGCAGTGCCCGGCTGTTGAGTATAGCAGCACCATGCTGTGCGGTATTTTGCGAAGTGGGCCAGCACTCCAGGCTTCCTGGGAGGGTCATTTTTCTAGACTCTTCCGCTGCTTGCACCCTCTCCTTTTACATTCACTCCTCTGCTTTCCTGAGGAGCAAGAAGACCTGGGCGGCAGCAGGTACAGGGCTTAGTTTCCTTGGGATGAGAAAGGACACAGAGAACTCCGGGTGCCTTGTAGGAGCTGCTCGTTTAGAACTGTAGGTGCAAAGCACATTGGAAGCAAGCCAAGCCTTACAGCAGGTAGCACACCCTCGAAGCCTGCATTGATGCCCTAGAGCAGCAGTGGCACTGAGTTCTCCGATGCACTCCTCCCTCCCTGCAGGCAAGGTGGTGCTTTGCCCATTTCACTTGCCTGTTAGGAAACGTTAAAGTGATGACTCACCCAGTGAAGCACATGGCAAAACCTGTAGGCCACCTGCACTGATCTGGTACTGGAAAGGAAAGTGGGCTACAGATCGCAGTAATAAATAAACCATTCAGTACAGGGAACTATCCCCTACTGTGCATGAGTACGCACACTCTCTCAGAAGCTGCAAGTTTTCCAGCATGCTATAGTTGCTATAGTATAGGCCATTGCTTTAGGCTTATGGTGTGGCCCCCTCACTGCAGGCAGTGCCCCCTACTCCAGCACCACCCCCTGGCCTGTGGAGAGGACTCCCCACTGGAGACCGAGGATAACAAGGAGATGCCCCGTCACTTGCCCTGGGCTCGTGGGACCAGGTGCTGCTAGTGCCAGCAGAACTCTTTCCCACCCCACTTGCTGCCCGCCAGTTGGAAGGAGGCACTTGACCCAGCTGGCACTTGCAGTACAGTATGTCTGGAAAATAATTACTTGCCTCTTGACAGAAGATATTGTAATCAGCATTTCTCATTCCTATGAGTCAAGAGAATGCTAGACAAGCAGTAAAGAAAAATCAGTATCTGACTTGGTTCACAGTTGCCTGTGTACCGCAATTTCCTGTCCATTCCATGTCCCCATTTTTCCAATTATTGGGGCATTTGGAGCCCTTTAAAGAAAATGCGCTGTGGAATGGATTGTGCTGTAGTAATGGCAAAAATCTCTCTCTCTCTCCTTTCATCAGATCAGTGTGGTCAACTACATCAAACGGACAACAAAAGCAGGAGTTGACCAACTGTTTTTTGTGGTATTTGAATGGAAAGATCCTTTTATCCAGGAAGTTCAAGATGTGAGTAAACATTGACCATTTCATTTTTATGTAGGCTTTCTTGTTTTTCAAAATGGAAACTCAAGTGATCAGAAAGTTTGCCTTAGTCAAGCTTGTTATTTCCTTCCTGGCAATTATGTAACTATAGAAATGGTTGTCGGATATTTGTGGGTAGGGCCTGAGCCCAACACCTCTGCAGATATGCCCAGGCAGACATGAAAACTGATTCTGAGTCCAGTGGGGATGGGGAGGTGAGGAATGCTGATGAGGCAGCAAGAGCTTGGGAACAGGAGACCAATGAACACACCAGGGACACAGAAGTCATCTGATCCGTTGAAGGCCAGCCAGACTAGGCCCTCTGAACCTGTGAGAACACTGGGCTGGGTCTTAACAAAGGGGAGAAGGGAGTAGGAATGAGAGTTCCCCATCAGCTGAAAAAGCATGAGGAGACTTGCAGCCAGGGAAGCAATCCCCAGGGAAAGACACACCTTGAGGGAGAGACCGGGTAGCCCTTTCAGCTTAATAAGGGAGGGCCATAGTAGACAGTGTCAGTTTTGGATCAACTCTCATGATGCACTAACTTTGGAAACTAATTGATGCCTACAAGGTCCTGTGTTATTAAAAGCCTGGCTACAACTCTTGTGTCTTTTGGCTGCAAGAGGATACGGTGTTTAGCTTGAGGTGCTGTTAGTGGCTTGCATAATAAACATGACTTGCATAAATTATGCATAACTGTTGCATAATTCATATGGAGATTAAACATGGGCGAAAGGGAGAGATTTTGCAGTTCTATAAATCCAAGGAATGGGGAAGAGTACAATGCTTACCTTTGATCCAGACTCCATGATGCCCTGTGTGTGTCATTCCACTGCATCAATTGCCTGCACCTCCATTGCTTTGCTACTTTCTGCCTTGGTTTATTTAACTGAAAAAGACTGATCACTCCACCTTCCAAGTGGCTTAGAAGAAAAATTATAAATACAAATAGATTGGGACATCATAAAAGGCATAACCAATGAAATCATCATTGGCAAAGACCATTCTTTGTTGTCTGCTACACCATTTGATCACCTTAATAGAAGCAAGCACATCTGCTTCCAAAAGGCTTGCGACTTTGGGAGCTTTGCTGAGAATATAGGTTAAAAATAATAATAGACTGCAACATGATGCAGTTCATTTGTTAGCTTAAGTCCACGGGAAAACACTGATACATAGCTAGTACATTTTAAAGAAATCAAGGGGTGGTGATCCTGAATATACTTGGGAGACTGGAAGTAGGACATGCCAAAATCAAGCCAATCCAACTTTCTGCTGTATATTATCATTGCCAGGATTTTTCATTTTCTTTCATTTTTCTTTTTAATCTACTCCAATCCATTCCAGCAGCTCTGAGTCAGACTAAATTTCCATTAATGGTCCTCCAGTAGTAGGCTTGGAAAGAGTGGTTGAGGTCTTGGAGAGACTGTTTTTTAAAACCTTGCCAGTCACAGGTGGCCACATCCTCTTGGAATCCCCCAAGACTTGCACAGTGGGATTTGCAGAAGATACACGCTTGTTCTCCTGATGGTTTCTCTGTCCTAAGGCTGGGAAAAGGCAGAAACTTGGATATTTCAAACACAGTGTTGTATTTCTCTTTCATTTTGTAATATATGCATATTCAAAACAAAAACTTCAGCCAGATAGACTGACAGAGATCCTATGAGAGAGCTCACCAACTGCTGCATATGCAGTTCTGCATATATACTTGTGCTGATAGGTGAACTTATGCCCAGTGATAGAAGTCTGTGTACAGAAGAGAATGGTGCTGGGGTACACCTTTTTCTTCTTTGGGTTCTTCGTGGCAGGACTTGGAAGACACAAGGAGCTTTCACATGTGTTAACTTTGAACCAAGGACCAGCCAAATTATTCTGTGATAAAAGTCAAGCAGTATTCCTGTAAGAAGCACAAATGAGTTTGATTTCTTTCCACAGATTGTCACTGCAAATCCTTGGAACATGATTGCCCTTCTGTGTGGCATTTTCCTGGCTTTGTTTAAAGCAGCTGATTTTGCCAAACTCAGTGTGAAATGGGTGATAAAAATCCGAAAACGGCACCTCAAGAGAAGAGCTCAAGTGCTGAACCATATAAGCTGAGGACCAGGTGCTGCCCAATGTTCTGTTACACTGGAGAATAGAAAGGGCATAAGCCTACGCCAGTGCTGCAGCTGACTTGCACAGACAGGAGGATTAGTTGCTTTACTGGAGGATAAGGAACCTACCACTTGAAGTTTTAGAAAACTAACACCTCTATAAGATCTCCTACTATATCCATGCTCTTTTCTAAAACCATGAACTTCTTTACTAAGTTTTTAAAGTGGTAGGCGATTCCTGAAATAGTATTTAACCTTATATCAAAAACTCACAGATGAGGTCTTTTCTGTCCATTGTTTGTGAAGTTTAATACCACGATGACTTCATCCGATGTGTGCTCCAGGCATGGGGGTGCAGCATTTTCAATTAACTCAGGGAAAGGAGCAGGCACTGCATGCAAATGCCCCTGTAAAACACTCAGCATTTCCATGTATATCAGGAAAACCCCCCACCTGAAACTGTGGAGAGCTGCTGCCAATCAGTGTGGGCAATACTGGGTTAGATGGACCAGTGCAAGGCCTATGACCAGGGCCTAAAAGGATGCTAGCTTCAAGACATGCTGCTAATCAAAAGGAGACAATAATGTGCAAGATGGTCTGATTCAGTCTTAAGGAAACAACTTAAAAGGAACGTTCTAAACAATGCTCTGGCAGGAATACTCCAAGGGGTAAAAGTTGTGCACTGGATACACATTGATTCACTAAAGCATCACAGGCAATACTGGAGATGAGTTTGAGCAACGTTGGTTGGCTGCATATTGATAGCAGTTTCCTCCCTCAACAGTCATATCTCAATGTACTACATCCTATTGGACTCCTACCCCTTTAAATTTTCAATGTGTAGTTACTAAAGGAAGACTGTGGGCCTAAGAACATCTCAAAAGGGCCCATTTCTACAGGAAAGAATGCTGAAAGCACTGGAAATTTATCCAGCATTCCTGTTTGGTTAAAAAGTATTTGTATTGAAGATTTTTCAATAAAATTGCATCTTCTTAAAAACTGATTCTATTTCTTCCTGCTTATGTGAAAGCAAGACAGGTACAATCCTGCTCTGCTAAAATTAATGAGAGTTGTGTCACCATGAAAGAAGCAAGACTGCATCCTTAAAAGCTGATGAGTACTACACTAACAACATGCTCTTATTTGGGTCTAGAACGTAGTTACGACCTAGTCAGTTAATCCAAATGTCTGTTGACAAATTTTGGATAATGTAAATGGTACAACAAGAACCACCTTAGTTCAACACGCGTGCATATTTCTAAACCCTGTGTACAAGGGGTGCCTGCTAGTATTCATGATTGGTACACTGTCTGCTCCTTTCAAGGTACCTGATTGCTCTCATAAGAAGGGACTACGGTATACTGGAGGCAAGCAGCAGGAAAGTGGTATCATCCTTGGGATCCGCTCTGTTCATTTAGTCAAGGAAGTACATTAGTGGTCCAACACTATACAGCAGCAAGTGTATTTCTAAGCACGTTGATTTCAATAGGTACACTTACATCAGCAGAACACTGGTGAATCACCTAATAAAAGGTTGCAATACATGATGGCATATGTAATAGAAGTTACTACTTTTATAGGTAGGAATAGCACATTTCTGAAATAATCTTCATTGAAAGCAGATTCTTAGAGAACAGAAGCCCTTGTGGATTCCAGAATATAAATGTAACAAATCATTCATATCCCACTTTCCTCCAAGGAGCTCTAGGTATGGCACACATGATCTTTCTCCTTTCCATTTTAACCACACAAGTCTGTGAGGTGGAAACATGAAAACAGAGTCAGAAGGGATCTGGGCCATCTAGTCTGACCCTCAGCACTAGCCGGCTCCACTCATGACATGCCTACAATGTGCAGGTAGGTTAAGCTGGACGTAAGTGACTGGCCCAAAATGACTGGCCCAGAAAGCTTCAGAGTCAAGTGGGGAGTAGAGCCCAGGTCTCCCCATTCCTGGCCAAACACTCTCACATCTATGCAATACTGCAGTACAACTGATAGATCTTGTGATTGAAAGTCTAAATTGAAGAAAGTAAGCATCCTGAAAAATCCTGTTGGCAGTGGGTTATTAATTTCACACTCTTCCAAGTTTATACTAGGGCAATTCCTTTATTAGGCCAACCAAATAGATGGAATGGATGTAAAAAACAGCTAGCATGGTATAGTGGTTAAGAGTGTTGGGACTTAAAAGGTCTCATCCCCACTGACTTTAAAGCCACTCACTCTCAGTCTAACCGACCTTGCAATGTTAAATTGTCAAAAAGGAAGGAAGAAGATCATCTACTCCACACCTGGGACTCCTTGGAGGAAAGGCAGGATATAAATGTAACAAACATGTAAAGCAGTGGGGTGGGGGGAAAGCTGGCTTATACTGAGCCCTTTTACCCTAAGAGAGCTTCACTATTGTTTGTTTAGAATATTCCTATATCATACTTTACTTCAGTTTTCTGGGCAGTTAACAAGCCTGTTGAGGTCACGTGTTTAAGCCTGGAGCCACAACCAGCACAGTTCTTTCCACACTGGCTAGAAGGGTGAGAAGAGCGCTTTGGGCACAGAAGCTATGAGGTCAGAACCATTTCTCCTAACACACCTGTGACCATCCAGATGATACTTAGTAGCCACAAGATTGTACTGCAAATGTTGTTAGCTACTATTGTGTATTAAAATTTTGTCCTTTACTGAGGTGGACTTGATACTGTTTCCAATCATACAAAGCATGCCAAAGTTTATGTCCCCATGTGCCATTGGCATGGATTTGCTGTTGTGGCTCACATGACTCCAAACTGAAACCAAACCGAGTTCCACAAATCTATAAACCCAAAGCACTGGATCCAATTTATTCTTAAGTGTGAACATGCTGCCTCCCACTAACCAAGGAGAAACTACAGTGGTGCCTCAGCTCACGAACGCCTCAGTTCACGACCAAATCGGGTTGCGAACAGAAATTTCATAAAAATTTTGCTGTGGGTTGCAAACTCCTCATTGGGTAACGATCATGAGTGCGCCTGCCTTCCCTACACAGGCGCGATCGCAGTAGTGCCGGGTAAGGAGATGGCTGCGCTTGCACCTGTGTTCCTTGCCCGAGCACGCCCATGTTCGTGCCAGTCTCCCCCCTTCCCCAGCATGATCGCTGGTGCGGGGGGGGGGGGGTGAGATGGCCGCAATCTTTGTTGTCCTTTGTCACTTTGCTTCAAATTTTTGTGAGTTAAAAAAAAAATAGTTACAGAATGGATTAACCTTTGACTTGGCTCATGACCAATTTGGGTCCTGGAATGGATTAAATTTGTGAGCCAAGGTACCACTGTATTTGTGTTTTGGAAAACTATTATGTGATGAAGGAAAAGTTCACATGAAAGGGTAATCCATTGGTTAAACAACCCATGGGTTGTCAGGTGAGCTGGAAAGAGTTAAGTCCATGGCCTGCAGCGCACCTGCCACTTCTGTGTCTACTCAGCAACCTTTTCTCAGCTCCATAGGTTGCTGAACATGGTGTTAGTGGCTAGACAACTAGGGGTTAACCTTTGCTGTGTTAACTGTAGGCCATTTGGCCCTAAACAACCCAGTGGTCCAAGGCTGGACATTGCATTCAGCTACTTACAGAGCTGCATGTGGATTGCTGAGAAAAAGAAGTGGTGGGCTGCAGACAGCATCCTTGCTCTCTCTTACTGGTCATGGCTCATTAAGGGATGTCTCACTGCATGAACAGACATCTGCTTGTTGGCTGTGGCCATTGCTGCCCACAAAAGAACCCATCTAAACTAGACCAGAGGCTAAGCGATATCCATCTGTCTTGCCAGCTATTCTCTCTCTGACAGTCAATACTTGGTTTGGTCCTTGGTTTCAACACATCCATTAAATTTAAGCATAATGTTTTGGAACCCCCAATATAACCAAACTCTTGTTCAGCATGGTTAACTAAAAAGATTATAATACACAGCACTAATTACAAACATAAAGACTTTATTGAATGCTGCTCAATCCCTCAATCTTTCAATACAAAACCATTTTCCATACAATTGCAATTTAAGAGACTGGAATGGTACTCTGATAGAAAGATCCACAAAAAATGCTCCACCTGATCAAATAAAAACAGAAAAACTTCTAGAGTCAGCTTTTGCCATCTTAAAAAGCACACTGTATTTTTCTTAGAAGAAAACAAGGAACTGTTGAGTCACATAGATGATCCTATACCTGGATAAGCATTGATCAATGCTAACTTTTAATGAGAGGTTGGACCATTTTGCAGAACCAGACTGAAAAGCAGGAAACTGCTAGGATCTACAAGAACACTTGAACTAAGTTTGGAAGTTCAATGATAGGCTCCAATCCTCAGTTATACCACTGGATACATGACCACTGAATCCTCACTAGAGATGGAGAGATGTAGGGGCTAAATGGGCAGTACTGCAGTCTTTCAGTAGAAGTTGATGTTTCCTCATTATTCATCCAGAACGCGCACATGCTACATCGTATTTTTAACTTGTTGCTTTATTTAAAGCCAAGCCCTAATCAAGCATTCTACCCCTCTAGACAATTACCATCAATTGATGGGGAGAGTGGGGAAAAGCTAAATGCTCCTCCTCCTGCATGTCTACATGGCCATTTCTGCAGCTCCCCACGCTGTAGGCTCAATTTATTCAGCAGGGAGAAATGTTTACTAGAAAAGGCTTCCAATGCAGATTAAAACCCTGATCTTCTAACATTCTAAATCACACATAGAATCTATTTAAGTAAAAAGTCTCCCTGCTGCATATTCAGCCCCAAATAGGTGAAAGGCCACAGGAGCAGTGATCGGACATGTGGAATATGCAACCAACATACTTACTACTAATCTCACCTTCACACAGTGATGATTGTGGGAGAGAGGAGGTCAGAATGTCTGAGTTGTGCTATATACTCTGCCCCATGGTTCTTTGCTCTCTGAAACACCTTATGCAGCAATAGTTCTGAAATCTGTGTCATTTAATTTAGATACAAATTTCAACCTGATCCTATGCATGTTTACTCAGAAGCAAGCTCCACCGGGTTTAACGGGTCTCACTCTCACATAAATTGGTATAAGATGACAGTCTTAGTTTCATTTGAGACAATACAGCAAAGCTCAAAGTCTTCCAGAATCTCAACCCAAACCTACAGTAATGCAGAAAGCACATCGGTGGGAAATGTAAATAGCTGACTTCTATGCCTATGTGCAACACGATTTAAAAAAAAAAAAAGGAAAGAAAGAGAAGTTCAAGTCATAATTTTCACCACTCCCATTATTAAATCACACACATCATAAATGATAAAATTTGTTTCTGTGAAATGTCAGAAGTGACAATATAACAATGATTAGAGACAAATTTACAATATGTTGTGGTAAATAATGTCACATTCAATTACTGTATTTCAGTTCAAAAATGTCATTTACACTTTGCCAGAGGAAAAAGGTTGGCCATTTCAAATATACTGATGAGGTTTCTCTTTTGCTTTTTTTACATATTTAAAAAACCTTGTGTATAAAAGGTCTCTCACAAAGAGAGGCTGTCACTTTCATTTGGCACTTCGTCGTTTGGTGCATTTATCGTGGAGGACGCATTGCTCAGCTGGTGAGACTGATCTTTCGTTAACTTTAGTTCTTCCAGCTTCTTCCAGAGTTCTTCACGTTCAAGCTCTTTCTTCTTCTCTCTGCACAAAACAAAACATTAATGTAGGTGGCCCTCTGGGCACTGCGTACTAAAGCATTTTGATGCTGTTAACACCTTGGAGGTTTGAGTTCTTTAGCCTAAGGTGAGATTGCCTCAGTATAGGCAATGCTAAGCAAGATCAGGTTTCTCTTGGTATAAGGCAGCTTTCCTTTTCATATGTTCGTAAGACCTTATTTTACCAGAAAGATACAGAAGGCAATGAGTCTCAGAGCCTAACTAAGCTCTTGGTGAATAAACAAACAAATCTGCTTGAACTGTAGGTTTATAAAATGTAGTGTTCAAATAGTTCTAAAATTAACCCAAGTATACTTTTAACCCAATTTACTAATCGTACTTGTTTATGCATGTACCCATATGTGAATGTTTCTATCTGTATCCGACTGACTTGGAAATTCTTTTGCAGAGGCATGTTATACAAGAGATCCTATGCTGTATTCCAACGAAGAAAATTAACTTACTGACAAAGATTAAGGCTTGATAATGCAACTTTATTTAAATCATAAATGCTTACAGATAGTTAATTAAAATACCAGCTCCCTACCACTAGACAGAATGCTGCTTTCAACTGCAACGGGAGATTCAGGGAAAGTCAGGCAGACAACTGAGGAATTAGAGTCTGCCAAATAATGGAGAAAGTGATGGGGAAACAGTGAGAGGGGGCTTGAGATACTATATGCCACATGAGACTTGAGATGTGACAGCAATGGATGGGATAACACAAGAGTCAAGTGCACCAAGCCACACTAACAAACCATGGTTTATCATTGACCAAACAACCCTCAGTTCACAACCTAACAAAGGTTTGTTGGTTGTTCATTGTTTGTGTTTGTTTGTGAATTGCACCCTGTCAGTTTGATGCTTGTTTCAGAGACACACCACTGTTAAGCATTGGTTAGTGTTGCCTCCTCTTCCACAGATTCTTCCCTTGCTCCTCTGGGTTCTTTGGCTGTAGTAGCAGCTGTGTTGGCCCTTCAGACTGCACTTCTGGTGTGCAGCCACAGCCTCAACCTCTTCCCCCGGGAAAGCCAAGGAGAGAGGTGCTCACTTGGCTTTCTGAACATATGTATCAAGTCAAAAGACAGAGCAGTCACTGAGTTTCTGCCCTCACCTGAAACAATTTGAGGAAAGGCTGCTCAACCTCACTTTCTAGGTTTTTCAGCAGTTCTCCAGTATTAGCAAGCTGATGCATGATAAGCATGTGCAAATCGGCAGCACAGGTTTGCACTCACTGCTGCTGGTTCTGCACAAACAGATGTTTGGGCATAGCAGGTGGAAGAGCCCCGATGTCTTGAGGACAGGTCACCACATCTTCCATTTTGAGGCCCAGCTCCAGCTGCATTTCCTTTGGGAAAGTACTTCAGATCACTTCCCAGTTGACTTTGCCTAAGACCTTACTTTTTGCAGCATTCCTGGGTTTGCCTTGTGTGGTTGCGAACCTGATTTCTTTTTTTGCAGAAGAAAAATACACTGGGCTGCTTGAACTGAAGCAGTATGTTGTTGGTGAATTTGTCCCTGAGAGGATGGAGTGCTGATTGCTGGAGAAGCAGGGATGGGCTACCTGGATGTGCTTCAGCTCAAACCAGAAAATTTTATGAGGCAGCTCAGGATCTGGAGGTCTTGCAATAGTTGCAGACAGAGAGCTACACATCTTGAGTACAATGAAGATGCCTGGAACCTTGACATCCTGGAGTTGTGGAGGACAGGTCATGGGTTGAAGATGGGCAGTTTTTCATGGGATAGAGCCTCTCTCTCTGTGAATGGCTCAAGGAAATCCTGCTGCCATCAATACAGCCATGCATTGCATCCCTCAGACCCAGCTGGATTCTAGAACAATTGTTACAGAATGGCATGGTACAAAGTTCACTACCCGAGTGCTTGTTGTGAGCTGCAATTTCTTTATTTTTTTTCTTCAACCTGTGCAAGCTTCTCCTTGCACTGCATGGGAGCACAAGAGTAGTCCTGTAATAACAACTGCACAGAAACCAGAGGAAAAGATTATCATGTGTAGTTCTTTGGCGGTATCCCTGGGCCTCTGAATTTATCCAGAGATCTATGAATGTACATAATTCTGCTTCCCTTGACAAATGTGCCCAAATTCTTACATTCTGGTTTTCTCCCCTTGACTCAGCTGGGGCCCCAGATGCATTATGAGCCAACTCTCATGTGAGATCTTCTGAAGAGAGCACCATCAAGAAGTCTCTGTCAGTCTCCTCTGCAAGATCAGTGGTGCCATATGGGTAGCAAGTGACTCTAGAAAGAAAATTTTGCTGATTGCAATTGCAGAATAACTGTTTCTGGGTTGAATACTAGCTCTTTCACACACTGGTTCTGTGCAGAGGCAATTTCCTGTCTGCTCTAATAAACACTGTGCCAGAGAGTATACACCCGTGTTTCCAAGTAAGTAATTCCAGGAGTTCTTGATGTCAGGGCAGTGATGCCAGGAAATATCCAATGCAATTTTCTTAATACAGATGCATATATTTGTACATTTATTTTTGTTCATGTATTTTATCTCCCACATTTTCTTTTCCTGCAGGGAACCGAAGGCCGATTACATAATCATTGTCCTATCTGTCTTATTCCCACAACCGCTCTATGATGTAGGTGTGTCAGTGACTGAAGCAGAGCTACCAGTGAGCTTCATGGCCAGGTGGGAATTAGGAACCAGGTCTCCTGATAGTCCCTGTCACTATGCCACAGTGATGCCTTCATTTGGTTTTCTTCCTCTTGTTCTTTGCTGTTGCTAGTCACGAAGTCACGTCCAACCCATCGCGACCCCACGGACAACATTCCTCCAGGCCTTTCTGTCCCCCACAATCCCCTGGAATCCACTTAAGCTCACACCGACTGCTTCAGTGACTCCATCTAGCCACCTCATTCTCTGCCGTCTCCTCCTTCTTTTGCCATCTACTGTTCCCAGCATTAGGCTCTTCTCCAGTGAGTCCTTCCTTCTCATTAGGTGGCCAAAGTATTTAGGTGTGTGCTTTTTACCTCTCACTTTAAATGTTCCACTGGAGTTCATGATGCTTCTTGAATATAACTCTTGCATTAGTGCTGTTCCATTCCCTGGATTTTCTGCTACTTGTGTAAGCTTCTAAATGCTATGAAATGCAGCATTAGTAGTAAACTACACACAGAAGAAACATGTTCAGGTGTGTTATAGCAGTACATACAATGTGTGCAAATTCTAACCACAACTACTGTGCAGCTTTGCTGCCCCTCTCGTGGCCTGGAAAAGTTCCTGTGGACACCCATGTTCACAGGTACCAAGAATACCTAAAATTTGCATGCTCTAGTAGGGCAACTCTTTTATTTAAGTCACAGTAACAGAAATACAGGTCAATGAATTACAATCACAACACACAGACGCCAAAACCAGGTAGCTCGCATGCTATTTTCAAGATCCTTTAGCTCAAACCTGTCATGAGAAGCCTGCCCATATTTCCTTTCATGGAATAGTTAAGAAGGTACTAAAATGATGCCAACAAGATACCAACTATAAATACACAAAACACCAGAACTGCTGAGCAACTCAGCAACACCTCCTTCCCTGGAGAACAACTGGCTTAGGTGATGTGTATTCAAAAAAATATTTAACTGCATACATAAAATAGGTTTTACAAGCAAAATTCCAAAAGCAAGAGCAATAGAGATCATATAAATCAAGAAGTCCAGAAGAGAAGTCCCTTTTTCTTCACAAGTCAGTCAGTTTGCTGGACAGTTCCATTTACATCAGGGGTCTCAAACTCAACTTACCTGGGGGCCGCTGGAAGTAGAGTCTGGGTGAGGCTGGGCCGCATCAAGCGGTGGTGGTGGGCCACTCATCCCACGGCCGGCCCGGGCACCGCCGGCACTTTGAAGGCCGCAGGGCCCCTCCCCCGTGCCCCGCCCATCCTGGCAATTGGCCCGCGGGCTGCGAGTTTGAGACCCCTGATTTACATATTCTCAAAGTAGGCAATACCAAATTCAAAGGTCTGTCATCTGTTGCTCAAGAATGTTCAAACACTAATTCCGTGCCAGAGCAATTCCTAATCAGGAGTACCCACATTTGTTTGTTTGTTTAATATCCTGCCTTTTTTCTTTTAAATGACCTCCAGGTGGCTTAAATAATTCTCCTCCTCCTCACAATCGTATCCTCAGAACCCTGTGAAGCAGGTTGGGCTGGCAGTCTGACTGGTCCAAAATCACACAGTGAGCAAATTGCAGCCTTTTGTCTTCATCCGCCACTCCCCACAACCTCCTGGCATTTGCTAGGTCAGAGGGAATGCTCACAGCCTGCTTCTGACTTGGCCAAACACTGCACATGAAGCATCATTGGACAGAACTGAACGGAGGAATGCCTCAGACACCTCTGAAGGGTCTTTACATTTCAGTACTGGGAAGCAAATCTGATACTGGCACTGGCCCCATTGCCTGAGTGAAGTTTCCTCCCTTCATACATTTAAAGTCACAGAATTTTCTTGCAAACATTCTTCATTGGCCAAGGCATTTTCCAGAAGCACAAATACCCAGAAAGAATCTTTTGAGTATGCAGATTGGTTGAACCTAATCTAGTATTTACTTCTAAGAACTCTCTTTGGAAATGAGCAGGCCTCCCTTCTGCACGCCAGTCCTGTTATTGGGTCCCTGCCCTCTGCCAATGCCACTTCATGGGCTCAAGGGCCATACCTGCCTCATCTGCCTGTGAGAAATGTCCCTGTTCCAAGCCCTCTCCCAATAACTGTACATCTTGGTTATTCTCAGAGGTTGCCTGTGTCCCTGGAGAGTGTGGCCTTGAGATAAGCGCCTCCACTTCTCTCATCTCAACATCTGGAACTGACCACCTCCTGCTTTTCCTCCTCCTCTGAATTCCAATCAGCAGGCCTTGGGAATGCACACCAAGAGCAACTATCTTTCTCATTTCCAACATCATTGAAGGCAGATCTGCCAAGGTTTCCATCCAGCTATTTAGTATGTTTTTCAATGCGAAAGAAGTCCCAGAGGCATTACATCCCTTTTAATGTTGAGGAGGTGGCCAAAATCAGTGGTAGTGTTGTAACTATAATGACCAGCCCAACAGGCAGCTTGGCTGGAGAGCAGCCATCCTTCTGAGCTCAAGATATTGTTGATCCCATCTATAGATTAACACTGTTTTATATTAACACTATTTATCTACATTAATATTTATATTTAGGCCAAAGTAGGTCCAAAAGATCACAATAGAATATAAAATACATAAACCAAGAATGCAGAAAAACCAGAGAAAGCATAAAACCCATTCTGAACAGCAAAAAAACAGAGAAACCGTTAATTCTAAAGCAAAGATCCAATGAGGAAAAAGAGGGGGTTGGAAAGCTTACAGTGTGTGTGTGGGGGGGGGGTCACATAAATCTCCTGAAGGAAGGATGCCCACAGCCTAGAAACATGAGACAGCTATTAGGAGATGCCCCGTTTCCTGTAATTGCCTATTGTATCTCTGATAGAGGTGGGGGTTTGTGTAGAAGGAACAGGTTTGTGTAGCAGAATGTGTTACCTTAATGATAATCCTGGTCTCAAACCTAGACAAAATTACTATGAAATATTAGAATTGATAAGGCTGGGCTACAAAGTTTAGCCATAAATACTTTCAAGATTGTACAGTATACACTAGATTCTGTTCAGGACATAAAACTGCAGCAGCCCTTCCTCAGAAGGCTTACAATCTAAGCAGAAGCCCTTCCTAAGGGCAAAAGTGAAAGGAAAGCTACAATTGGCTAAGGAGTATCAAGGACTTAGCAGCAGCAGAATCTATAGAAAAGACAAGCCTAAGTAATCCCAGCCAACTCCTAGGAGAAATGCATTTGAAGGAGTGATGTATTTATAGGAGGGAAATTTTCTTTACTGTAGCTAGTGGGAAGAGAGTCATTCAGGAACAACAACTCTAACTGTAATATAATACTGAATTATCTCAGAGAATGTTTTCAGGCACATAGTTAAAATGAGAAAAGCAAAAATACCTTTGTTTTTCTGCTTTGTAAGAGCTTGTGAGTTCATCAAATAGTTTTCCATTCATCTCCATCAGTGTTCTCAGCACATTATATACTAATGATATAATTGTCCTAGAACAAAAGGAAAAGTAGCACAAGTTGAATTGATACAACTGTTACATTCCAACATCTGCTTTGAAGGCCTAGCTTTTAAAAAACAAATTCTGTAGCCTTTATGTAAAATGAAAGAGAGCAATGTAATTTGAATTGGTTTTTAAAACAGATGCTTTCTCTTATGAATATATGGAACTTGAGGACTTTTAGCATGTGCACTGGTTATATTTCCCTTTGATTAATCAAGCTGTAAAGCAATGGGGTGGCTCCATCTAATTCAACTGAACTGTTTTACTATTCCTGAATTAAATATCTCAAAGGCCATAAGAATCTAGAATAAATGAAATACATGCAATGTAACATCAAAATAGAGAATGCCTTTTATGAAATAAAGTGTCACTCTACTCTAACAAAAATTCAGTTACTGCAAGAAATTAATCACTTTCATAATGGACAGTACAAGTCCTCTGGTAATTTTAACTGAGGACTTGTACTGTGTCTAGCTGTGCTAGTCTGCAGCAGGAGGGATGGCAGGTTGCTTACCTCTTAACTGTTGTTCTTCAAGTGGTCATCTCTGCACTCACACATATTGGCTCTGTGCCTACATGGAACCTTAATTTGGGAAACTTCTACAGCTGAGGATCTTAGGCTGGAACCCTTCCACAATGTCAGTGTGTGCACCAAAGACCTACCTCTTTCAAAGATATTTTAATATCCAACAGATACAACGTCCTTGTACTTGTTTATTCGTTTTTGTATTTATATTGGATTTTATACTTATGTCAATTTGTAGTTTACTAGTTTTCATTGTTTATAGTGTATTTTAATTATGTAATTATTAGTCCCTAGGAATGCCACTGGTGAGATAGGCAGCATATAAATGTAATAAATAAATAAATATTGTCAGTACCAACATTAAACCTGATGTTGACACCAAAAAGGAGACAGGATGTGGGTTGTGTGAACGCACAGATGGCCACTCAAAGAACTATATAAGCAACCTGCCTTTATTCACTGTGGTCTCTGTGCATCACACATAGGCGATTAGCAAGCTAACTTACGGAAGTGGGTCAGTGACATTACTGTAACACTGGTGGTAAAACTGGTGGTGATCAAACTGACCAAAGGAGCAGTCCATTCATCCAGACAGCAGTGCTTGACAAATGGTTGGGACCATGTAGCAGCATGGTACAAATACAGCAACTGAACATTATGTCCAAAGGCAACAGTTGCTGCTATACCTCTAACTGAGGTTGTGTTATTGGCCCCTGTTATGGTGTGTCTACTCTGGCTATACCTTAGCTATTCTGTCCCTATTCTCCCATCGAAAAAATTAGCAGCATGTTAAACAAGTTTTTAAAATACAAGGTCAAGAAAAGTCTTGTAATCCACACTAGTTCATAAATCAGCTTTTCAAAATCCCTTTGCTATGAAAGCCTCCCTTTTTACTTAGTTCTGAATTAAGATAGCTTACTGGCTTGGTTCATACATCACAATAACCCACAATTTTAAAAAATGATTCTAACCAATCTGAGTCATAGCCACAATTTGCTGTCAGGTTTTGACTGTTAGGAGAGACACAAGCCGGTGTCCCTAGTTCACATGTCACATTAACCAAGCCATGGGCATAGTTTGTCAGCAAATGCTGCCTCATTCACAACTCACATTTAAAATATTGTGTGTTATTGAGTCATATGAATAATAAATCATTTGCAGGAGAAGCACACTAGATTCCCTCAAACAGTACGAAGATTGGAAAATACTAGGAGAACCATCGCTAATTAATTCTTATATGCACATTATATATTTTAAGCTAATATTTAATTTTATTTGTTCAGCTCATGAGCAAGTATCTTACAGATGTTTTTGTCAGACTGATGCAAAAGGCACTAAATATGAAACCTGGCAATAATCCAACCACTACTTTATACCTCAAAGTTTAACCTCATCTTCATACTGCCTGGAAAAACCGCTTGCAACAAGTAGTGAAATTTTATTAAGAGGAAACATGATAGCAGTACAGAAAATTATTCAGAGTGTAGAGAAAGTGGACAAAGACCACCCCCCTCCAAATACTAGATAATAATACAACAGAAAAAGCCTCAGTAGCCCCTGGTCGAGGGCTGCATAGTCATAATGACAGTCAGCACACAGTACAGTTCCTTGAGAGTGAAATAGCCCTTGATGGGCTGTAGTGTCATGCAAACTGGCTGTCTGTTTAAGAGAAGCAAATTATTTATAGAATTTTATAAGAGAGATATGGACTTGTTAGTACATAAATTAAACCTAAATGTGCCAAAACATGTTTATGAGAATATTACATCAGAATTGCTCAAAATCACCACTATAGTTTTTAAGGCAACAAATTCAGGCATAATGATATTTCACTTATGGAAATCTTTCCCTTAAGGAGACTTGCTGAGTACTACCAAGTTTGCGTTAACTTCTATGGGTAAAATCCAATAGTGTTCATCTACCAGTAGAACTCTCCAGAGTGGATAGGAGACAGCATGCAGAAGGTGCAGGGGGAGAAACAGCTTTTGAATGGAGCCTTTGAATTGTTTTACCTGGGCTTTTAATTACTGGTTTTGCTATGATTTTATTTTATTTGTACTGTTGTGAACCCAGCTCCTTAAACAGTTTGACTGAACAACAGTACAAAACAAATGGTTTAGAACATATTCCATAAGTCACATCAGCTATCAGTACCTGTAGTTCTGTGCAGAGGCAATTTCTTGTCTGCACTAATAAACATGTTAATTTAAAAATTTTAAATCATTGCTCTTTCAGAAATCCAAAGAGAATGCCTATCATGTCACTTTACCCAATACACACTGCATTTCTTTTTATCATAAGCCATAAAAGAACTACCTACTTCAGTTAAGTGCTATCAGTAGATTTAAGATAGATATTATGCAAAATATATAAAGATACTCTAGAAGAGAGAATGATGAAGTATACATACAGATTCCAGTGTTCTTTGGAGATCTTGTATAAACTACCAAACATAATTGGCAGAATTTTATCAATGTTCTCCTCAATCAGGCCAAGAATGTATTCATTATTCCAGTAGTATAAAGCCCTTTCTGCAACCTGGAAATACACATTTCAGAGAATCAGGACAATGAGGTTGGGTGGCACAAGCTTAAAAAGTTGAAAATGCCACTTTATACCTGAAAATGTGAACTTGACACACATTTGGCTAACTGTTTAAAGAGAGGTTCTTCTATTTTCTTGAATTGTGTTGGTTCTATTACATCTAGGATTTCTTCAATTTCACCTAAAAACATGACCTGTGAGAAAAAAAGGCATTTAGGTAATAAATGCATGTATGGGAAAAACCTTGATTCTAGACATACAATAAGTAGCCGTGTGAGAGAGATTTGATGAAGGATAAAATTACTCTAGTAGGATTTTAAGTGATCCACACCAGTACTATTTTGCAAATGTAAAGAATCATTAATTTGGTTGCAGACAAGTTAAAGGAAGCCAAAGCCCTGAGTTTGCAACAGCGGAACAGGGCTGTCAAATGTAGGACATTCTGGAGGACATTCAATTCATGCAGGCACTATGAAGTGAAGATGATGCAATGGCACACAACAACTGTCTTTTGTGCTTGTACCTCCAAGTGCCAGCTCACCATATCGTTTCCCATTCCTTATTTGGTGAATTGTGGCTTCCTGCTTCTGTCTTTTCTTACTGGTCATGTTCACATGACAACCAACTCTGCAAATAAGCTACACAGTGTGATCTGCTTGTGAAACAACCTATGGTGTGGCTGACAGACAAGTGAGCTGACCATGGGCTGTCTTCCCACTCCCCCCCTGCCCCCTTTCGGAATCCCAGGGGACTCCACAGTAGGACTCATCCTGTTTCTCTCCATCCATTAACATTAACAGAGCAAGGATAATTTGTTGGTTGGCTTCTCATTTGACAGCTGTCAAAATGAGACACACAACGTCAAAGGGATTACTGTGGGCTAAAGTATGTGATGTGTACTTCACCACCTTTCCAGTAAAATCCTCCAATTGTTTTGCTTGGCACAAAACAATAAAAACACCACCACAGTTTTAAAAAAAATGTATTTACATGAAGTCTCCCAACCAGATTGCCAACCAAATCCTCAGCCTTTTTGTGACAATAATACTTCAGCACCTAATATACCCAGACTTTTTACTGGACCCATTTACTGGACTCGTACACAGATGGGCTCACACAGGGCTCAGATTCCTTTCTTTCCCTTCCTCAAATGTTGAAAGCTGTGTGCAGACTCCTCCACAGTATATCCTTCTGGAGTGCATCCAATCTGGCCAAGGAGGAGGAGAGTAGAACAGGGATCTTGATGGGGTGGTGTGTGAAAAGACTTCCCATCCTTTCAGTGGCCCACCATGCTGCTCTGGTGTGGGAGTGCACGAAAGAAGCAGAACTTAAGTCATACAGGGATTCCTGCATGCATGGATCCTGAAGTGTGGCTACATGCAGATTTAAATAGCAGGACAATTCTTTTATATATACAAATAGAATACTTATTATCAATATAGCAGTTGTGATAGAGTGGTTGCAGACTCACAGGCCTGAGTTACATTGTATTTTTGTAATTCAATATAACAAAATGAAACAGACTGACCTCTTTCTGGCTGCATGTTTTTGGCCAAAATTTGAGCAATCCTCTGATAACCTAGATTGTAATAAAAAAATTGAGAACACATGAAAAATAGAACATACATATTTAGCAGATTACGACATACAAAAATACCAGATCTGAATCTGATAAATTATTTTGATCAACATACTTGACTTTGCAGTTTGTTAAAAATGACTTTGTTCCAGCCATCTATCAAAATATTTTGACTATACATTCCCATAGGAGAAATCAAATGTATTAGTGTATGTGTAACAGCAATGTATTTTACAGTGATTCTTGTATGCCCCTCCTGGAATTTAACCCACTTTGCTTTTTCCTATTTAATTATATTTCCGAATCACACCATAAGTAGGATTCTCTGAACAATGTACAGTTTCAAAAATTAAAAACACAAAGCATAAAATCTAATAAATCAATTTAACAATTACTGCACAGGCTGAAGTCCTGGAAACAATTCCATCATAACCACAATGCAGAGAGCTAAAATATGTTTGCTGTTATGTGCCGTCAAGATGTCTCCAACTTAAGGTGACCTTATGAATAAATGCTCTCCAAAACATGCTGTCCTTCACAGCCCTGCTCAGCTCTTATACACTCTTGTAGTTTCCTTTATAGCATCAATCCTTCTCTTATTTGGTCTTCTTTTTCTTCTTCTGCCTTTGGCTTTCCCTAGCATGATTTTCTTCTCCAGGGAGTCTTGCCTTCTCATGATGTGCCTGAAGTATGTGTGATGACTTCAGTTCTGTCATTTTTGATTCTAGGGAAAATTCTGTACCTTGATTTGATCTAGGACTCACTTGTTCTTTCTAGCAGTCCAGGTATTCCCAACACTCTCCCCTAGCACCATGTTTCTAACACATTAAGTTTCTTCCTGTGTGCTCTCTTCACTCCCCAGCTTTCATAACTAAATATTATTGGTAATTTATAATCAGTCAGATGCATGACTGTGACCAGCCAGAAAGAGAAGTACTTTATGTTTCCCCTGCCTCAAAAACAGTTAATATTCCTATGCATCATTTTTATTACTTCTAATTCTAAATTGATTGCTTCTGGCCACTGTGTGATCCACCCTCATCATTAAAACTCAAGGTAATGTTTTGCAATGAAGGAACTAAAAGGGATCATCATGGGTAAAGACATTTCATTTCACTGACATGAAGAAATAAGTTCCTGGTGATGACCTATAAAGCCCTAATTGGCTTGGGTCTGGGATACCTGAAGGAACGCCTTCTTCCCTATGTGCCCTCCCACCCCTTGAGATTTGAAGTGAAGGTCCTGCTCCGGGAGCCCTCCTTGAAGGAGATTAGGAGGGTAATGACCCGGAGAAAAGCCTTCTCTGTGGTTGTGCCCCAACTATGGAATACGCTCCCCAGAGAGGTTTGCCTGGCGCCAATATTATATTCTTTTCGGTGTCAGGCAAAACCCTTTTTATTTTCCTGTTATTTTAATGTTTAATTGATCTTAACTGGGGGTTCAGTATTTGTCAGATGCTGTGGTGTTTGTTTTATTCTACTCATTTTTTGTAAGCCATCAAGTCGCTAGGAGTGGATGGGATAAAAAAAGCTTTTAACAACAACAACAACAACAACAACAACTCATCAGCAGCAAAACAAAAGGAATACATTCAATGGACACCTATGTAACAGAGTCGATCACTTCAGAAATACTAGTGGGTCACTTGGTTAGTCTAAAGGCAAGCCTTTTTAAGCCAGGCAAGTGAAGATGCCAGTCATGCATTCTAGGCACTGTTCACCAGGCACACATCTTCCATTTATTTCAATAGTCTATGTGCAGGACCTTCCACATGAATACCATTGAAATGAATGGCAAATTGAAGCACCATGCTCTGTATCTGGACTACCAGTGAATTATAGGCTCTTGCAAGAAAATCCAAGTGATTATTATTTTTACTCTCAAGAAGCACAAGGTGGCTTATATTATTATTACTATTTTGCTTTCATATCCCACCTTTTTTCCTCATGTAAAGCACCCAAAGCAGATTATATAGCTCAATTAATCCTCAACAGCAAACATTCTATGAGGCAGGTTAGCCCGAGACTCAGTAAGCCAAATTCACCCAGTGAGTTTCATGACTGAGTGAGGAAAAGAACCCAGATCTCCCAAGTCCAATCCTCCAACCACTACAGTATACTGGCTCTCCAGTTTCTCAGTAGTTCGGAGGTTCCAATGCCATTCATGACTGTTCAGTGGCCAGTTTGGTCTAATTTAATTGAAGTTTATATTAAAATATGTTAAAGCAAGCATAAAAATACCAACAAATGCTTCAAGTGGACAAAACCTCAAAACTCACCGGTTCTGTCAAGGTCATATCTTTCTCCAAGAATTGAACAACACAGTAGGCCAGCTAAAATACATGGTAAAAGGTTTGACAGTTCAGTTGATAACAATCTTATTTCTTAAATTTGCAGTGTGAAGTCAGTTTAAGTATGTTGCCCCCAAATTTTCAAGTTCAAGCTTTGAGCTTTTATGCTTCCCATTTACCTTATAGTATGGAAGAGAGAACAATGAATCCAGGAAATTCTTAAACAAAATTTGCTTTTTTATTTTCTAGTAACTCTACTCCAGATGTGACAAGTAGTCAAGCCTTCCATATGTAGAAATAGCTTCTGTCATCTACAAATTTCTCCCTAATTTTAGCACCACTTAGGTCATTTTAACACTGCCTGGGTGTTCAGAGAATATCCACAAGTAAAACTTCATAATCCCTTCCCTGTAACCCATTCTGAATTTCCACTGTTTGTACAAGTAAATATAATTGTATAATGTTGCCCACATGCCTTGCACTGAGTATCTTTCACAGCACTTATTCACCTTCAGTGCCCTCATGTGACAGGTAATTATTAGTTCTGTTTTATTAACGAGGAACTTTCTCAACTCATGTGTGAAGCCCATTACTAACCAGTGAGTTAACACATGTCTGTCAGGTACATGATTTTTCTTTAAATTACAATGTGAACTGAAACAGATACAGTCAATGTAAAGAACAAGTCAAATCCACAAGAAAAACTAGTTGTAATAAAGTGCCTAGACATTCTAACCTTTTCTTACTATACAGAGCTTCTATTATTTGAAATACTTTAAAAACCTACATAAACTTTGAACTAAAATGGACTGATGTTTAAAACATATTAAAGCATAGAATTAAATCTGTGTCTCTTAGAGATCATTGATCAAGCCTGAAAAGTAGTATTTAATATTTCTGCAGCTATGGAAAGATTCCTTCATACATACCTGTGCATGAAATAAAGCTAATCCCTTTGCAGTATGCATAGGAATAAGAACCTTCATAAGGAACTGTTTATGTTCTGCTTTCAACGGCAATGCAAAACCATTGATAATACTGAAAAAAACAAGTCAGAGAGGAAAGTACAGAATTAAAGGACAAAATGTACAGTTAATGTTAAAAACGAAGATTCAGACTAATCTTCTAATGCACTACATCAGAAATTTCTTTGGACGATTGTACAATTTCACTCTGGGCTATAAGGGATCTGTTACATCTTTAATCGCACTGCTGAAGAGGCAGGCAAAGAACAGCAAATCACAGGCATTGCTTGCCATATTTGCTCCCCACTCTAAGTAAGAAGTTGCACATCCTAACTAGGAAAGTGCTTTTGATATTACAGAAAATGAATCAATCCAAAGTAGGCTTGTCATAGCCAATTTTGTACTAATTCAGGGCCACTTCTCAAAATGAAATGCACTATAGCACAGGAAAAAAATTCATTATTTGCTAAGCACACAAAAGTCTATTCCATCAGAAGTACATATAGTGCATACATGAAGTGAAATAGCTTTGTGTGTGATTTATGCAGCAACATGGAGTTTATAGGTTACATTCAACTTTACACAAGCAGAAGCCCAATCACAGAACAGGACTTCCTGTTCAGCTCCTCCCTTTGGAAGTTTCCTATGTACCTCCCAAATCAATCCCAGAGAGGCCCAAAAGTCTCTGGTGCTGATCTACAGGACACACAGGGAGATAGCAGTAATACATTCTATTACTGTGACTATTCCATTTGCAGAAGGACACTGTACAATATAAAACCCATATGTATTTATCTTTTCTGAAGAGCTCCCAATACAGGAAGTTCACAATAATTGCAGTGAGTCTTGGAGCAGCCCTTCTTAAAGGAAGGCTTTAAGTAACTAATTTTCTGATTTTGAGAATGCTCTAGTTGCTAAATTACTAGAAGGAAGACTCATTTTGAATTATTTAGGGGGGAAATTGTTTTAATTGTACTGGTTCTGGTAAACTCAGTCCTCATATATGAAAGGTCTAGACATGCAGCTATAAGTAAATCTTCTGGAAGCAGGACAGACATCATGGTCAAGATATTCAGCAAACCACCTACCCCTACTGTCATCACATAAGCATATCACATGGGATGTTGACAGTGATATTTATGGTGCCAGTAACATAACAGGGAGTAAAGGAAAGAATTTATAGCACATCAATGCAGTACTATGGTTATGGGATGATCCTGAGCTCAGTTTGGAACACTGAGTTAATGGATTTAACTAAATGCAATTTGAGATATAAAAGCAAACACAGCGAAGTATCAAAGGCCACCATTCAGGGCTGAACTAGTTGTGTTGGTAGCAGTAATCCAAAAGGGCTGTGGCTGTCCTGATCTCATAGGGAGAGTCTAACAACAAAATGAGAACATTGGTGAAGCTGAGGGCTTGCTGGACCTACCATTTTTCCCCCATCCAAGCATTTTCCACCAAGTCCAAGTCACTTCTGGTACTGGAGCTTGGCTGAGAAGAAAAGGACTCAAGGAAAAAAGTAAAAGGAAATGAAGTTGTTGGGAGCCAGGGGTGAGGTTTTGCAGTCATGCCTTATTCACTGTTAAAATCAGGTTTCCTAGTCACCTCTTTCTGTGTTTCAGTAGAACTACCTTCACAGTTGGAAAGCAAAATCAAGAACAAAAGGTCTTTTGAATGTGGCCAAGATGATTTTGCCAATGACCCTGCAAACCAAACAACCAAGGAACACCCACCACTCAAGACTGACAAGCTAGCAAAAGAATATACTTACCTTCCTAGTATCTCAAGTAGCTCAGCAACACCATTGAAGTGTTCTGTTTCATATATAAACCTGTTAAGGTAGATTTACACTTAATTTATAAGCAAAATGGAAACTAAAATAATAAAATCAATCATACAAAAACTTTATGCTTGTCCCTTCTGTTTTTGCCTAAATTTCAAACCTAAGGTGTAACCACACCCAATTCCAGGCATTAGGTGTAAAAGAGAAGGGTTGTGCTTAAACAGCTGTTGTAGCATCAGCAAGGATCCAGGACAGTCCCAACACAGCTAAGTGCTGCTTTATTTTTCCTCAGAAATAAAGGACCAAATTTGCAATATTATGTAACACTGCCCTAGCACAAAAGATAGAAGGGTTAGGAGTCCCTGCTACATCTAGGGAAAGTGGTACTCCATTCATGTCTTGCTTGTTGGCTTCCCATTGTGACACCTGGTTAGCTACTGTGGGAACAGAATAATGGTATAGATATGGCTTTTTTCTGACTGAACACTGCTCTTCTTATATCCATACTGCAGCAAAGATAAGATTATGTTTCAACCAGCTATTAGGAAATTCCCATTCTATTCAAGTTTTAAAAAGTAGACTACCATACAACTGGTTTTTAAAACCATGAAGAAAGCACACAAATCAAATGTCAGCCCTATTTGACTTTTTTTTAGGACATCCCTTTGGATTCAATGCCATAAGGCATGAGTTGCCACACAGTGCTCTTTCTATTCTGTCAAATGACTCTTAATGATATATCTGAGATGATACAACAGCACAACTAGATGTTGCTACACCACCACAGGGAACAGAAATCATTTAAAACATACAAGTACCCCTTCAATGGCTTTGGAATTCTAACACCCATTCTTAATCTTTGCTACTGCAGCAACCAGGTTTTACCATTTCAAGAAAAAAGTACATTTAAAATGCTCACTGTGCTGTTCTTCCCCTATTTATGCATTTAAATCCTGGCCTTTAAAAATGTATTTTACTTCATAAACCCATACAGGTAGCAGTATTTTGATCAACTAGTAATTTTTCTAGCTATATTTGATACTGTACTTTATCACATTTCACTTTATTTTCTACTACAATAATCCAGCATTATGGCAGTTGAATTGTTTATGTGTGGAGGATGGTCCACACATGGTACCAAGCAGCTTTGATGCATGTGCTCCTTACATAAACACACACTACATCCTTCTTCTGGAGTCCGTTTGCATAGGACAGATCACTCAAGAGTGATGGGTAGATTTTGCTCCCAGGGCTAAATTGTACAAACAGTCTTGAAGTCTTGTTTATTTTATCCCATAGGCCAATGGGACCTCCATTAATAATTAGGCCAGATCCCATATGCACAGGACATGAGTCTTCCTTTGACAGTTTATCTTTGAAATTTGTCCCTTTAAAAAGAAAAGAAACCCCCTGCACATGCTCACGTCACCACCACAAATGAGCTTTCAGTGTTCACACATGAATGACTGAACCTGACCCTTCAGTTTTATACCTGAAGACCCATGCTTTGATTTACAATGGAAATTAATGCAGCTGCATCCTTTTCAGCTGATGTAAAGATGATTGCAGAGGAGGTTTTTATGGCATAATCAGCCTGCTTTGAAAAGAAAATTAAGGGAAGTTCTAGACACTTGTATTTTTTTCTCCATGCCCCCCCAACACCATGCTTCTTCCATCTTAAAGATGGAAAGACAGAAAGCAGAATTAATTTTGATTGGTAGCACCAGGTGCCATCCCTCTGGAAGGACCCTTTGACAGTTCACATCTTCGCATGCATACCCCAAGACAGATGATCAGTGACTTGCTCTTTGTATTTGAAAGGAGCAGAACTATTTACCTTTTAGGAAGAAATAGCATGAACATTACTTCGGGGATGCAATTCATTCACAAGATCCTATGTTGTCATGCAGGTTTACTTGAATGTATGCAAAGTTTTAATTAAGTGATAGCAGCCAGGCTGCATGTGTCAGTTTGAGCAATCGTGTTGACGGGAAGTATATTATTTTACACCTTGTTTTGGAAGTATTTTATAATGAAAAACATGTAATAAACAAACAGCTTCTTTTGAAAGTTTTCTAAAGGAAGGGGGACAATATTTTCTTTATCTAACCTTCTCCAATCTGCTCCCTCCAACTACAGCTCCCTACACCTCAGCAGTACTGGCTGGAGGTAACAGAGTTTGTAGACTACAACATCTGAAGGACACCAAGTTAGAGAACACTAATATAACTCAAGAGTGGCAGATTTCATATTCATTACTTTTAAGGGCATGTGAAGGGTTTTTTAAAACTCACATGTGTACAGGTAAACGTATGAGATATTGTTATTTCTGTAAGAAGAGTTTGAAGTACCACATGTGTTATACCTGAGAAAAATATTGTTGATTTGTTTTCTGATGAATGCTCGTAATCCAAGGAACTTGCCATAAATTCGATGAAGCACTGTTTTAAGGAATTCACGCTCTCGTGGATCTTCACTATCAAAAAGCTCCAACAGCTGTTAATAAAATATTGCTTATTACTTCAGTTCCCATTAACAAAAGCACCAACTGGAATAAAAAGAAGTTCTGTCTTAACCCCACCCTCCCAGCTATACCAAAATTAAACACAGGACATCTTCAGTGACATGTTGACAAAAATAATCACTATACAGATGCATACAAGCCAGTGAGGTCTGATAGTATACCTTCCTTACAAATCAAAACATCAGAAATACTATGATGCTCATGTTGATTCACAGCGGGGGTGGAGGGAAATCCAAAACCCACAGGAAGATAATTCAAACAACTACTTAAGAGACATGGTGGTCTTCTTAAATAAAGGCATTGGATACTGTGGATACTGCCCTTCTGAAGAGGATCAGAAACCAAATTACTGTGACATAATAACAGTATAACAAATTCCCACATGTTAAAACTGGTTGTAATTATACATATTTAAACAAACCTCTGAAATCAGGGAGCACAATCTAAAAATAATATTGGTTTGGGTAAGCAATTTCCATTAAAACCAGGTTTTAGCCATACTTTTAAAATATCAATCACATTATTTCTATAACATGCTTATTTGGCTAACATAGTTTGAATCAACTGAATTAACTGAAGATCTTAAATGAAAATGCAAAGTAGTTTCTACATCTCACAATTTTATTTCTCCTTCTATACCAGGAATAGGGAAGGGGTTTTAGCAGGGCCTGAGCTAGTGTGGAGGGAGAAATATGGTTGCCAGGACCTGAGCCTTAACACAGTTCCCCCTGATGAGAAGCAGCACAGCTCACCCTGCAAGTGCCTGCATGACCAGGAGCATACCTGTAGATACTTGCAAAAATCAGAGCCTATGCAATCATATAGCACACCTGGGAGCTCTGAGAGGCTCTATAAAATGCTTCCCTGTGCTGTTCAACACGGCCATGACAACTAGATCTTTGTGGTGGCTACATCATCCTCCTGTTCCCAGCATTGCAGCTGTTTCTGTCCTTGCCTTCAGCTTGAACCTGCCTTTCCAGATACTTCTTCTGTGTTCTGTCAGACCTTGCCTTTCTCATAGACCTGCTTTACGTTGCAGATATCTGACTTCAGTTTGCCTCTAGTTCTGCCATGCCTTATCAGCTCCGGATCTTCAGTTGCTCCCAACCTTGCCTTTGCCTCTTGACCAGTCATGCTCTGTCAGCATTTGATTCTTGCCTTTGCCTCTGGTTCTGCCGTGCCTTGTCAGTGTCTGAGCCTTGTCTATTTCTAATTTTGCCTTTGCTTCTAGATGTGCGATGCCTTATTGGTGTCTGACCACATTTGTTCCTGGCTCTGCCTTTGGACCTACCATGCCTTACTGGATATCCAATCCTTGCATATTCCTTTACCTTTGGCCTTCCTGCATTCCACAAGGATCTCCATCCACCTCAGTGGTCCTTTTTTTCCCAGCTGCAGACACCTACTGTCTACATTCTGGACCTAACAACAGTGGGCAGAGAGGACTGTCCCCTGCTCATTTTGCCTTTCTCCTAGCTAACAAAATGCAGAGCTTCATGCCAGACTCAGAAAAAAGAAAGGGACTCAGCAACACCTTCCAAAGCTATCCAAATCCCAGCCTTTTACAAGTCACATTAGCCACCAGGTCACAATGAGACTAGTATGATGAAAACAGTCACTCTTTTCACACCAGCAAAGTCCCCAGCAGCACATGACCTGACTCAGCCAAGGTCACTGGTTCCCATACAAAGGACTGAAGTTTCTCCAGCTGACACTTTGGCCAAAGACCAGTTTTACTTGCCTGTACCCTTCCCCACTGAAGATGATATAAGGCAGGTAAAGTATGTAATGCACCACTCCCCTCCTAATTAAGAGAAGGCAAATGGTGCACTATGTAGAGGAATGTTTGTTTTATCTGTGATAGGAGGGAACTGAAGTCTCTGCAGGTTGAACAGGAAACTTCTGTAGGATGGGAATTTTCCACCAGCATTGTATGCAATGGCATATGGTATATTGACTTGAATCATGACTTCTCCAGAGTGAAATTCCACTCACAAGACATTCCTGCTACAGCAGGAAAAGCAACTTTTAACTATTCACAATGCCTTCAGCCACACAAAAGTCTGCTCCAGAAAACAGGGTCATGTGCTCTGTAAAAGCATGTGAAGCTGTACCATGTGAAGCTGAAGTGGGAAGGGATATTTACAAAAATCTTCTTTATACCTCAACTAAATTGAAAGCCCTAACATGAAATTAATTAACATTCCTATCAACAGAAGAGACACTTAGAAGCATATCCATTATTTTTAGCTAAATAAGTAGTGTATTATCTATTCCAGATGAATATTTACCTGCTGTACAAATTTCTGGTCAATATAACGTTTTGCAATGCTAGGCTGGAAATCTGGACTCTCTAAAAAACGTAGTAAAAATTCATATACCAGCTATGATAGAATAAAATGAAGACATAATTAGAGAAGGTACTTTTACATGTAATAAATAACACAAATGTCAAAGGAGGAAAGACTATACAAAATGCTTGCTAGAAGAAAACATGAGTGCTCCAAGTAAAATGCAATGTACTGGTATAAAATCCTATTAAATTTTGAACTGTTCTGGTCCTTAAGAGACCTTTCTCTGTGGTCTACTGAGATCTTTCAGCTACCCAATAGTAGCCTCTCTGAGGCTGGATAGACTCCTGACTGCTTATATATTCCTCCCACCCATTTGTAATCTTCTTCATCTCCCACTTAAATCACTCTTTCTTCCTTTTTCAGTGTTAAATGTGTTCAATATTATATCTTCACTGAGTTCAGCTTTAACCAGAAAACTGTAAACATTAGAGTTTGAAACTGGTGAGAAGTAGATTTCAAATTCTGGCCTAGCATATTATCAACAGTTAATTTTCAGTACCTATGCTATATGCAGGGAGTTTTGGAAATTCTGGCTAACAAGACAGATGCAGTGGGGGGTGGGGTGTCTGCACAACATTCCCTCCTTGCTCCCACACCAGTCCAGCTATTTGTTTGTTTGCTTATAGAATGTCACTGCTGCCAAAGTGATTCACATGGTGGATTTTGCCAGGAAAAAAGAATTAATCTTCCCCATGTGTGGCAACCCTCCTCTGAACTGTTCCCCAACCCAGTATGGCAGATGATTCAAAAGCTTTAACTGAAGAAAGTGGAATTTATTTCTCAAAGGCAGATTGCACTGGGCTTGAGAGAGGAAGAAGCTGGGAAGGAAATGAAGGGAAAGGTGTTCTGACCCTGCCCACTTCTGGTTTCACTGGCTTGCAGTCTGGCAGATTTACCGAGGAAATGTTGCCAACAAGAGAGAAAAGGTTCCTCACCCATGGAGAATCAGAGCTAAGGAAAAGAGGAGTCAAGCAGCATTGGATGATCATCTCTATCCAAGGCAGCAGGAATTGAAAACTATAGGGATTTGTAATAAAGTAATTTGCAATTTTATTGAAGGCTTTTTCAGCGGGATGTAGATTATGAAACCAAAAGATCGGAACAAGAGTAAAGTCAAATAGACAGGAAAATGGATTGTAGTCTGAAGGCAGCAAAGAGTAAGCAACAGTTTAAGAGCAGAGATGCAAGATCAAGTACAAAATATATGCAATTTCTTACATCACATTCCAGAACTGCTGATTGCATCTGATATGCTAGCACAAGATTTTCTTAAGCATGACAAAATATACCAACATAAATATACCTGTATATGGGGCCATGAAGCTTCTAGTGTAGGTTCATCTTCTTCTGGATCAAAATCTGGATTTTCACTTGGTGGAAGTGTTCTAAAGATATTAGAACTAATCTGGGGGGAACACAGTCACTTTTTGAAGCTAAATTCAATTTAGGTTTACTTAATGCAAGACACAAAAAATATTTGATTGGTTATATCAGCTTTCCCAAACTGAACACCTTCCATTGGCCATGCAAATCCTACATATCTGGAGGACACTAAAATCTTTACTTCAAAGTACAAATATATGATGTCATATACATTTATCCAACTGTCTTATACTTTCAAGCCATTACTTTATTTAATCTAATACTATTTAAGCAGCTCAAAATAGACTGAATAACCTGCTTGATATTGAATCAAATATATTTGTAATTCTAATGCATTATGAATTATCTTTATTATGGTCATATGTCTTGTGCTCATCCTACCCTCTTTAGAAAGCAAAGTTCTTTGAAGCAGAGAATTGTCAAAGTGACAATCCGTTAGTTCAGTTTCATTTAGTAAATATAATATATTAATAAAAAATTTCCCCATTAACAAAGACATAGGATTAAATCAGTTAAAACTATAGTAAATAGATGAATTAATAAAGTGGTCACCAAAACCTGCAAAGCTACTGAAACAAGTTAAAGATCCAGTCTTATGACAATAAAGGAAAATAACTGTGGGTCAAAATCCCACAATGAAGAACTGTGAGGAAGTTACAAGCTTATCTGAGTGTTAACAATTCCAAGAATAGATCTTCTTCAAATTAAATGGTGTGATAAGGATCATATTAACATAGACTACATCTTGGGAAGGTACTTTATTTTGTTTGATGTGCTAACATAATGAGAATTCATAGTGCCTTTCTGAAATACCATAATTTTAACAATTTAACAAAAAAGAAAGAGGTAGCTTTTATTAAGGAAGGTCAATTGGACATCTGTGATATCATGAAATTTGGGCAGCAGGTAAATGAGGGGAGTTATTCTTTTCAATCTTGACTCTCATACTTGAAAAACTAAGTGGAAGAATTGATTCATCTTCCTTACTGCTGTTGACAATTGGTGAAATTTTCATGAATAGTAAAATTCTTAAATAGTAAAAGTAAAAGTAAAAGTTTAATGATAGAGTTTTTACTAAATGTTGGGCAACAGTGTTGACCTTACTTTTTAGTTATATAGATAGCTCAGCAACATTCCAAATGAATGGAATGAGGTATTGTTGATCCTGTTATACAGTTACGGCAGGAAAGAAAATCCACTCATCAGTTCACCTGATAAGTGTTGGAGAAGTATATGCTAGACCACTACCTGGCTTACACTTAACTCTACTCCATGGTTTGTTGCCAATTATTTTAAAAAGACTTGTTTTCTTAATTTCTGGGTTCTTTATTTTCCTACTGCTTTACTTAGGCCCCGCCTGTATTCCAAATGCTTTCATAGCGCTGTAGCACTGGTATGTAAGGTAGCTGTTTTTTTCTTTACGACTCTTGATTGCAAGCTCTGTAGCCTGGACAAAACAAGGCATGGTTCTGGGTCAAACATGACAGCCCATGGTATAAACAACACAAAAATTACAATTTAACAATGAATCATGAATTCTTTTTCTGAATTGTTCATGGTTAAGAAACCATGGTTTGTTAGTACGGCCATGTTTCAACATGATGACAAACAAGAAGCAACACATGTACAAACCAATTCACTTAGCCTTCCTGCTACTAATAATCATTAGCAGGACAAACTCTTCAAATCTGCACTGAATCAGTTTCAACCTTTCACTGGTTTTCTGTTTAACAAAGTTGTGGATAGGCACTGATGGATTATTTTTCAACAATGCTTAGGTAACCTGAGTTGGGGTATAATTTGTTCTCTATTTTTAAATACAATTATTAACACACACCAAATCATACAGAACAGCAAGTTTCTGCAAATTATATGTTACTGGTCAAATACAAGCAATCGATTTTTCTTTGGTTGTTTGCTATTGTTACAGGCAGATGACATAAAGTACTCAACTTTGTGAGTTGCACTATAACATTAGTACCAAACTGATCCCAGTGCTCAATTTTTATTATATTTATATCCTGACCTATTGCATGGGTTCAAGGCAGCTTACATTCTGTAGCCATTTTAGTAGTTATACTTCTAAATAGGTATACTTGGCACACTGCTCAACTAACTTGTCAAATTTTTCATAAAGCCAAGAATGCTTTATGAAAGGGTGGCAGGTTGCTGTACAGTTTAAATCTTGCTTTTAATAGTTGCTGTTCCTTTTATTCAACTTCTGTTTTAATTTTTTTAAATTGTCACTATAGAATGTGACTATCAATTTGAATAAACAAAATAATAAAAATAACAAATAATTTCTTTCCACTAAAATTTTCTTGTCCCTCTTACTCCTTTAATGTTAAGGGCTTTAATGTTAAATGTTCAGATTATTCCAACATCACCATAATACTCTGCACAGTCAGTTTGCAAACCAACTTAGAGCTACAAATGCAAAGTATCCTTTAAGCATGAACTAAGCAAATCCTACAGGTTTATTTTAAGAGTATAGGGCTGCCAAAGCTAAAGCCTGAATACATGACTTTGATTGTAATGATACTTAAATGTTCTCAAATGGATTAAAACTGGTACAGTTGACTCTAGTATAAATGATCAGTTATTGAACTCTGAACTTCAGGCAACTGAACCTCCTCAAAAATTGCTTGAGCCCTGTATGGCCCTCCCTCTCATTTACTTTTTGGACAATCCCATAATTGTATAAGAGTTGGTACAGCTTAGATCACTCATATTTAGTTACTATTGAACCAGGTACATAATCAAGAATTTAGTTCCTGCTTTCTAAAATCTGTGAAAGATCTGTTTAAGGTTTTAAAAAACCCTTAACAGGTACATTCTGCAGGTCTTTCTGCTGTCTCTAGTAATATTATACAATGTCATAGCATTTACTCTTGAGTATACTATGAAAGCATACAACAAGGGAACTGGAGTCACCCCGTCAAATAATATGGATACCTGAAAACTTTCAGAGAGTTAGTCCTGTTAGCATAATGCTGTAAAAACCAGCTAAACTTTAATGCTGTTCCTTCATTTCACCATAAGGTAAGAACAATGCACCTTTTCCTTTCCCCTAGTCAACATAAGTAATTTTGAAGGGGCCAGTGATGACTAGGAACTTGAATATACCAAATTATTGAATATTGACTGGTGAAACAATGCTGTGGTTAACCCATGATTTGTTGTTGGGTTGTTTAGTCCCCAAAGAGCCCAGTCTGGATTTGCACATTGTGCTCCACAACCTATGAAGGAACTTCATAGGTCTGTGCACTTAAACACTAAAGAAGCATTCTATTGCAAGCAATGTGCCCTTTCTCTCCTGCTCATGCACAACCCATTGTTTAACATAATAGGTTGCCATTATATGCTAATCATATCAATGCTTAGTGAATCATACTGGATTTCATTTTAGTAAGTCTTCAAAAAGAGTAACATTTGAGGTATTTAATTACCATTTTCACTATGTCTGAATATGCTGATTCAATAATCACTCCACGATTTGTCGAAACATATTCCACTAGTTCATTCAGTGTTGCTCTTTTAATTTCTTTGCTCCTCAAATCAGATACAGAGTCCATGAAATCAAACAGTACACAACATTGCTGTAACTTCTGACAGAAGAGGTCTTGCTGTTCATTTGAAGTAGCATCTGTGAAGGAGAAAAGGTCAGTGAATTAAAATGAATTGCTATAAGGTAAATTTATAAATGTCAAAATATTTGCCATGGTGACATAAACAAAAATCAATTATAATGTCAAGCAGGAAACATCAAATTCCATGTTCCATTAGCAGACATACAGGTTAAGTAATCTTAGATATGGTTCCTTCTCGTTTCTTCTCTCTAATCAGAACTGCAGAACACACTTGTACTAAAGTTTTTGGACTGCTACATGTTAACATGCTGAAGTTTTTTCCACTTAGGAGAACTTCAACTTCATTCTCTTGTTTTGATTCTAAGGGTAATAGTATTCCTCAGTATTAGCAATGGCTCTTAAATTTGCACAAAAGAAAGCCAGTGGACGCTCCTCATGCATTGGAAAGCAAACGTCCTTTGAGAAGAAATGCAGAATCAGCTTCCTACTGCCTAGAACAATCTTGTTCAATTTGATGACTTCCAGAGGGGCACGAAGTACAACTCTCACATTCCAGAATTCTCTCAAAGTGGATAAATTAAGTAACCCTCACATAACTAGGTCCTGTGATTCTGACGACATGACAAGCTACAACTTGAATATTTAAATTGGTCAAATACATGCAGAACAATCCACCATGGCTTAAATAAACCATGGTGAGCGATGGTTATCTCATAACAGGGGCCCTGAAAGAGTTTTGGGACTCCTTCCTCTGATTTTCAAATTTCTTGAAAGCAAGGAAAAGATGGAGAAAGACTTGGAAAATCCAGGCTGGATAATTCAGCTGACATTTTTTATTGATATAATCTGTGACCCGGATATGCTAAATCCCCAGTTGTGAGGGAAAGTAGAATTTTCTGAAACCAAAAAAAGTTTTTCAAAAGAAGGTTACAACAGTATTTATTCCTGACAAAAAGTTCATTCACTTTCCAAAAACAAAAGCAGTCACTTCAGAAAGACCTGAGATGATGAACCATTTCAAATATTAATTACTTGTAAAACTGTTGGAAGAAATGAGTTAGGTTCTAGATTCAAGGATGTAGTACAGCAAGGATTCATTTATTCCACTGAAAGTTCCTTCCAGTTCAGTGTCATCTCGTCAGCAGTCATTACAGACTTTTGTTCTGATGGTAGTAAATTGGAGAATTTAACTGTGGAACTCCAGGAAAATGATATCACGAAATCTGAAATTAAGGCAAGTGTTTATCATTTCTGGAACCTGGTCAATGATGCACCATACTCATCTCTGAAACATTGCAAAAATGGCTGTCTACATTCTTAAGACTATTGCGGTGAAAGGGAGGAACAGAAGATGCAGACCAATGATCTTGAACTGCTTCACTAGGGTTATAATGGCAAGAGTACAAATACTACATGAAATAAAGGATCAATAGGTAAACTTATTTAGGTAAACTTATAGGTAAATGTATTCCCACTGATGAAATGCGCTCCCCAGAGAGGTCCACCTAGTGCAGTTGTTATTTGTTTTTCAGCACCAGGCCAAGACCTTTTTATTTTAACGTTATTTTAATTGTTAAATTTATTTATTGATTTTATATTTATGCCGGGATGTCTCCAGATTTTATGTATTTGTATAGTTATTTATTTGTATTGGAAGCCGCCCCAAGGCTTTTGCGAGAGGGGCGGCATATAAGTGTTCCAAATAAATAATAATAATAATAAACTTTCATACATCCAGTTAGGTTTTGGACTTGCTTATTCTGTGTTAATTTTAGTAGCAAGTTAATGCTGGTCTCACATGTTATTATTGTTATTATGCATGATTATTGCCAAAATGGCTTCTACTTGAAAAAATACAGAAGCTCAGTAAACTCTGGTAAATGCAGAATGATTCAGTTGCATGTAACTATCAAGATTCCTGTTGTCTACCAACGTAAAAAAATTGGCATGAGCAGCAGGGATGGATGTCAGGGGCATGCTGTCAGCTCAAAGTAGAAGAATTTTTGCAGTGTGCCAGGAGCAAGGAGCTCATGAAAGAATAGCTGATGAGACCCTGTGTGGCTTTAGTGTAGTAGACACAATGGTATGTGTGGTATAGGGATCAGCACATTTTGATATGCCAGTAGTCAAGGGATGAATCACACTGAAGACTGGTAGCTCTTTGTGAGCTGGTACTGAACACTTTGAGAGGGTCACTCAACCTGCTTCTAGCAGTATGTCCCTCCAACCAAGCAGGATAATTGCCAGTTTGCCATAGGATGGCACGGCAACTGGCTTGACTCTGGAGTACTTGTAAGTTATAATTTCTTTACACATCTGCAAGTCATACAGCTTCTCCTTCACTGTATAAGTGTGTGAGAATAGCCCCTAGGCAACAACTGCATGCAAAACCAGGAAAGCAGATTATTGCATCTGTGGCTCTGGAGGTACTCCTCTGCTTCTGCAGTTATCCAGTGAATGTGATCAGTGAATGTGCCTAGCTCAACGTCAGTCCAGTAACACACCAAATTCTCACAATTTGTCCCTCTCCCTCAGATTCAGTCAGAGCCCCAAATATATTGTGAGCCAACTTCTATAATGGCTGTACAGAGGAATTTTGTGAAAAAAGTAGCGGCAAAGATTTACTGTCTGCCACCTCTATGGTGCAGTCTGTGAAGCAAATTTCTCTCCTAAGTAAACTTTGCAAGCAAACTGCAAAAAGTACCTGCCAAAACTGTTGCTAGGTCAAATATTAGCTCCATATGCAGGAAAGGCCAGTAAAAGATAAAGCTAACAAAACTCATTCAGACCCTTTCACCAAAAAAGTGTTTGCATTAATATCAGCACCTATCTATTGCACAAATGAAATAAAATTTTGCACACAACACTGTGCTAAAGAACTGGACATATGAAGTATCAAATAACACTGCAAGTTTTCTTTTTTCAATAAAATACTGGATTTTGTCTCAGGAAAATCCCTTTAACTTACATTACAGTGCTGGAGATGGCTTCAACTCACAGTTGAGGCTGGAAAGATAAAAAGCTCCTTCAAGGTCACTATGCAGATTACACACAGCTGGTTCACAAGGACAAAAAAAAAGTACTCTGCTATCATGTGAAGTAACAGAAGATTGTGGAAGGTGATGCAATAGAATGCAGAGTAAGGAGGGAGGTACATGATGCTGCACTATAGTAAGTTTCTAGGGTAGCCTCAAAAACCGAGTTCTCTCACTGGGGAAAGGAGCAGCTGTGTTTTTTGGCCACTCTTGCCCAAAGACTCAGTGGCATTTTTCAACAACCCACACTAAAATTGCAATCCCAGGTTCAGATGACACACCAAGCCATTATAGGTACCATAAACACTACAACAAGCCATGAATTATTAGTGTGGCTGGATGCCAAAAAATAAGCCATCCTGTTTTGATGACATGGCAACCTGTCACAGTTATATATTTGCAATGGGTTGCCATATCTTGCAAATCCAGTTTTTTTTTTGGGGGGGGGGGAGCTTATATTTTATTAAGTTTCCTTTCTATATAAATTTTGTAAAACTGATACAGCATTAGGAGACATGGATGAAAACTTATGACTTGTAGTAAAATTAGCAAGGGCTGCATGGAGTCCTGTCTAAACTAATATTTCCTATGTTTTTTACCAGTAGCGGATACACAAGTTTGGATTTTTCTTCTCAAGAAAAATGTGGAGGGCTGGACAAAACAAAGTTTGAGTGTTGTTTTCTAAATAAACCACTGACAAACTGTTCCTGTTTTTAAATCTCTTATTTTAAATTTCCTGTTTTTGACTACAATTTTGCTAGTCAAATTAGAATTCACAGGAGGGGGGAATAAAAAGCCTATCATGGGAAACATCTGAGTTCTCAGTCCAACTGGCTGTTGAGACCTGTAAGAAGACTCATTCATTTAAAAAAGCCACCTACCCACTCTATTTGACTAATGTGCATTGTACATTTCTAGCTCAGACAGCACCATTTTCACTTGCCTAGTCTGAATTTCAATAAGGGAATTAAGGAGATCTGAACAAAATGTGTCATAGAAATGCTGCTGTATTTTATTATTCCAAATCTGAGAAACTTGCAGCCTAGACACTCCTTTGCAGCACTTCAAAAGGAGCCAAACATTCAATCTGAACAGTACATACAAAAATATTGTCCCTCAGTTTTATTACACAAGTACAAATTCAACAGTCACTTTTACATACTTTTGTGGCAGTTCTGCGAAGTTCCCTCAGAAGAGGGCGAAGGAGAAGTAAGTGTGGGTCTGGCTCCCACTTTTTATCAGTATGAACAGGGGTATGAATCCCCACACAATCCCTTTTCACATACAAAAAACCCCCTTACCTTTTGTTTCCCTTGAATACCACATGTTTTGACTGCTCTCAAGAGAAATATGAGGGGGTGGGAGACAAGCTGGAGCAATTTCTGAGCAATACCCAGACCTGCTTCATTTGGCAAAATGCAACCCCTGGTCACTGCTCCAGCCAATGCTTCAAAACCCTGCACTTGTACAACTACAAAGGTTCACAAGTGTGCACATGCAGCTATAAATTTTTTTATTTTGATGGGTGTTTGTGCAAATTTTGTGCATTTTTTAAAAAGTTCTGTCAGCCATGGACAGTTCTTCTAAAATGCTTTGAAGGAGCCAGGATGCTGTCAAAATTGGTATAATGAAACCAGCAGTATGTTTTATTGATTAGAGTATCTGATTCAGACTTTGAGATCTGGATTCTAATCCTCATTCAGTCACAGAGCTCACTGATAAACTTTGGGTTAGTTTCAGCCTAACCTACCTCACAGGTTCTTGTGAGAATAAAATAGAGGTGAGGATTTGAATATTTTCAAATCAGAGGCTATCTACATAGTTAAGAAATCAGGGAGGCAAATGTAGGCAAATATAGGCAATTTACCTGGATTGAAAAGCTAGTTTTGAAGGAGGTTAAATACACTATAGTAAATTATCAAATGATGATGGGTATTGGAGAAAAGACAAGGCAAGATTATATCCAGAAAACCTTGGGTGAAAGACTATCTGACAAAGTGACAGTTATGGAGTAACAAAAG